AGGATCCGCGTCTGTTGTGCTTGGTTTGGAAGTGCTGTAGCAAACTTCGTAGTTGCCGATCGCTCAAAAAAGCCCGCTCCATTTGCCATCCCATTGACAAGTTCATCATGACACATCCCAGCACCAGGTCGGTGCAGATTCGCTGGAATTCTTCTCTCGTAAACATGTTTCTTTCCATTTCCGTAGTGGCATCGGCCGCGGAACCATCGCTATCATCCGAATGATAAGGAGTCGTTCGATCGTCATCGTCACTTCCTTCAGGTCCATGAAGCCTGCCAAAATCCGTTCGATCCATTGCTGCACTTCCGTGGCAGTACGTCGAACTGGGGCACTTCTTTCCTAGTCGTGTCTTTGACGATCTGCGTGTATGCGCATGTCAATAATACTGCCTTGTTTGCATGAGGACAATCGCCTCAGTCGGAGTACACTCGCTCAGACAAAAACGGTTCGATCGCGTTGAATCTTGAGCTGAAAAGCTGCTGCAGTTCAACATGTTGAGCTTGGAAGCAACCCATGGTGCAGCCGTCAAGTCTTGGAAGGCCGTGTGGCTTAGGCCGGGGCTCTTCGAGGATCTCGATGCGCAGACTGTCTCAGCCTGGCCGCCGACAGACTGAAAGTGAGCAGAGGGATACTGATGCCATGCATGACTTTCCTTCTCTTCCTTCCCTTCCCGCCTCCCTCACATCACTCCTTGCTGCCTGCTCATTCCTCGCATCTACAGTCACACCCTCATCTTGATCATTCCTTCTTCCTTCCCTGCTTCCTTCCTTCCTTGCTTCCTTCCTTGCTTCGTTAATTATTTTCGCTGTGTCTCTCTCTCTCTCCCTCTCTCTCTCTCTGCATCAGTCTTTGAGGGTCCGGCTCACCCCTGCTCGGGGTTCATCCTCACCCCTGTTCGCGGTTCATCCACACCCCTGCATGGGGTTCTCACGACCCCTGTTCGGGGTCCAGGCTCACCCCTTTTCGGGGTTCATCGGTACGCCCCTGTGCGGGGCTCTAACGACCCCTGTTCGGGGTCCAAGCTCACCCCTGTTCGGGGTTCATCCACACCCCTGCACGGGGTTCTCACGACCCCTGTTCGGGGTCCAGGCTCACCCCTTTTCGGGGTTCATCCCGCAGCCCTTTCGGCCTTGGTGCGGGTACGCCCCTGTACGGGGCTCCGACGACCCCTCTTCGGGGTCCAAGCTCACCCCTATTCGGGGTTCATCCCGCGGCCCATTCAGGCCTTGGCGCGGGTACGCCCCTGTACGGGGCTCCGAAGACCTTGATGTGGCCACCTGACATCCTGACAGGGCCTGCACGAATGCCTACAACTACTTTTGCCTGCTACCTTTTAGGGTTGAAGGTTAGTTTAGGGTTTCGGGTTTTGGATTTAGGGTTCAGGGTTTAGGGGTTAGGGGTTTAGGGGTTTTAAACCTCTTTCCTCATAATGCCTCCTTACCTACATGCCCGCCTACCTAGCTATCTATCTACCTACCTACCGACCTGGAAGCCTGCCGACGCACCTACACCTACAAGTACCTTCCCTCCTGCCTATCTACTTATCCATACCTACTTGCCTACCTAACTATACCTCTCTACCTACCTGTGTGCCCCTTCCTACCTGCAGCTTCTGGGCTTGAATGGGTGGGCGGGTTTGGGGGTTGGGTGGGTTTAGAGTTTAGGGTTCAGGGTTTAGGGCATGGGCTGGACGTTACGAAAGTTCAGATTCCCTTCATGTTTAATCATGAACATGCTAATTTTCAAGTTGTTCTGAATCGTACAAACAGCTGACTTTAGGGTTTCAGAACACAAAATCTCAAGCTTTTTGTTTCCGTTGAGCCACAAGAACACCAAGTTACATTTGTTTGGTTTGTTCGGCATAAACGTATTTTCATTTTTTTGGCAACTTTAATTTCCATGTGAACTACAAAACTTGGGACAGGCAATTATATCAGTAGGGCTTTGATTTTTCGATGTATATGTTTCACATTTCGATCAAACCAAGTTTCAGGCATTGATTTTTCTATCGAGCCACAAGCACACATCTTTTTATACATGTCCAGCATCTCGCTTCTTCCATATAGAGCGACAAGAACACAGTTTTTCAGGTATGCATCTCCATTTGGAAGAGACCAAGTTTTCAGGTCTTGTTTTCCATTGAGCCGCAAGAACACAAGTTTTCACATGTCCAGCATGTCTTCCATTGAGCCACAAGAACACATGTCTTGCTACATTCCATGTCACATCAACATCATAAGTCCTAGGACAAGAACACACTAAGTCCTAGGACCCGGTTCCATAATGGAAAGGACCCGGTTAGCCCCGGACTGGCATAGTTGCCATAAACTCAAATGTCCGAGAACGGCGAACAGGGCTTTGCATGACCAACGGAGGTCAGAACGTCGGGCTGGTGCACGACGTCGTACAGAATGGGGTGGCCGGCTGGTCTTGTCTGGCCTCTGCACTCTGCCAACCTCTGCCAGAGGGGCGAGCGCGCGGAGTGGTAGCCGCATGTCAGGCAAGTGCCTTGCAAGCTTGCGGTATCCGCCGATCCTGCGAAACGGCCGCAGGAGCAACACCAGGAGCAGATAAAGGATCGCAAGCATAAAGTGACGTGCGAAGGGCACAAGGCATGCAAGAAGCCAGAGTCGAAGGAGACTACCCCAGTCTCCATGCACTGATGGTGGCGGGCCTCCAGCAATACATGGGCTGCACGGGCGAGCCAGAATCGCACCCTGGATGTCCGGCACACTGTTGTAGGGCAATGCACAAGACGAGCAAACCCCAATAAGGAAGGCGGGTGGGGGCCCTAAACCCCAAGACCTAGAATCGGGGCCAGGTGCAGCTTGCAACAATCTCGGTGCGGTGTATCGTGAGTCCTGGAAGCGGCAAGTCGCTTCCGCTGGAAACAGACTACTCGAAACCCGCATGTTTGCTGCACGTCGCATGAAGGAGGCAGGGGTGCCAGATGGAGGCAAAATCGGCACATGGCAGCATACAGGAGCAGGGAAACACTCCACAGATCCCCAAGGACAGGTGGGATGGAGAGGCGGGGGCTCGCGACCAACTGGAAGAACCCAATCCAGTGGTAGCCGAGCCGAGGAGACATGGCGACACACCTGGCCCGAGTCGTAAAGAATACGTCTCGTCACCAAGTGGATGCCGGCGAGTGTGCAGCGAGACCTGAGGCATTCGGCTGAGGACAGGTGGAGTGCAGGCGTGAGGAAGCATGGGTCTGTACAGCAAAGGCAAGCATCCTGTACAGTATCCGCGCTCACTCTATGATACAGCATGGTCTGGTCCGGCCAAGATTCCATAGGTGTACAGCCTGAGCCACATCCCGATCGACAAGAACCGAAGTGGAACGAGATCCACGTGGGACAGACACAACCCATGCAGTCCCACAGAGGATCAGGCCTCACCAGCTCTTGTAGATCAGGGCAGTCAGGCTCGACAACCCAGGCGGAGGCCCAGCAGCTCAGAGTTACTCCATCCTGCCCAATCCGGGCGAAGCAGAATCCAACTCCTCGTCCGGATCCACGTCGATGGTGGGGACCCTGCCGTGCGTCTCTGGAGGCCGACCCGCATCGGTCACAGCCGGTCCAGTGCTGGGTGCACCTGTACCGGGACGGCCTGTGCCATCCATCGCAGGTGCAGTCCCGAATGGGCCATCGCGCTGCGTCGAGCTTGCTGGAGCTTGTCTGCCAGGCTGGTAACTCGCGGAGAAGCTGGGCTCGAGGCTGGAGGGCGGGTCGGGAGGCCCACACTTTCCTTCAACGCTCTCACAGCGGCCACTGCTGCAGCATCCATAGGCAAAACCGGGCTGGCAGTCTTCTGGCCAGCAGCAGCAGTCGGTGGTTCGCGTGGCGGTGACTTGGCACGTAGAGTAGCCGCCGGGCTCGTAACCATATAGGGGTCTGCCCTTGCTGAACTCGGTGATGAGCCCACATAGGAGTTCCGAACAGGACCAAAGGCTGCCCCAGGAGGCTCGGTGGGCGCAGGCCCTGTCGGGGGCCTTTCCTGGTTCCCCATTTCTGGCGCCTGAGCACCACGCAAGATTGCATCCAATCTTTGGCCCAGTGTATCCGCATCCACGTCCATTTCGGCAGGTCCTTGGAGACTTCGAACCATAGTGTCCCAAGCATGTGCCGCCTGGGTCTGCGTAGTGGGGGGCCTTCCATTGCTCGTGCCAGCACCTCCTTGGCACTGGTCTCCTGGGCAGAGGCATCCGCAATGTCCTGCTCGAGCTTGTCCAAAGCTCCCAAGTGCTTCTGGTACTCCTTCACGAATGACTGCTTTAACTCGGTCTGATACGCATCGTTTGGCGCGAACAGGATTCACCGATGTATGTGCTGGATATGCGCCCGATCCTGTGTGGCCTTACTTGGGGTGTTGCTAGACAAGGCCGAGTTCTGGTTGACCCCATTTTGCAGCGGTTCCGTAGGCTGTGCCCCGCTGGCCTCCGTCCTGACCTCCTTGGAGGACGACCAAGCGAAGATACCGAAGAGAATGTTCGGCTTGTCGATCCGGGGACAGTGCTGGTTGTTCTCTTCGTGCCCTTACTCTCCGAAGCACATCATGATTCTGCTCCCCCGGACGGTGTGACCCAGGGTTACGGCCCTGACCCTGCCCCGCAGGCACCTAACAATGAGGCAGTCACCGGGCGGAGGAACGAGCCTGCTGCCCCGGGAGGTCATCCAGCTCCTCGTGCTGGACAGGTTGGTCCAGATGGGACCACTTTCTCGATTCTTGTCACACCTCCTTCGGAAGCCGGAGGTGTCTGTGGCAATTGTCACCGTGGTTCTGCAAACTACTTCTCTACTGTTGGTAGTGATACACCTGGTTGGAGCGCTGCTGCCCCTTCCTTAGGGACACTCTCCTTCCACTCTGGCCTCCTGACTGCAGTGCAAGGTCTCGTTTTGTGTGCGCTTGCTGTGGGTCGGTGGTGCCTTCATTGGGCGAGCGCCCGCTTCTCTGTGCGAACCGGCTTGTGCCTCCTCGTTTTAGGCACTCTGCTGATGTGTCAGCCTGTCCTGGGAGTGCAGGTCCGAGATGTTGGACTTCTGCCAGCTGCCGGCCCAGACTCCCTTCTCTCTACCACTTTTGAGGCTACTGTTGACACTACTGGCACAGCCTTCAATCGATGTAGGGCGGACATTCCCGGGGCACGTCCGGTGCCTACCCCATGTCGAGGCAACATTGCTCCTGCCCTGGTTGCCAGATGCGAGTGTTACATCATTGCTGATGACAGCGAGTCTGAAGCTGAGGGGGAAGGCACATCCGATGTCACCACATCTCTGCCAGATGAGGGCACTGTTGGCGAACAGGCACCTGCTCTGCCCACTGAGATCGAATGGGATGTCTTTGGACAATTGCCAGCCGGCACTCACCAGCTGCCCCTCAGCTCACGCACACTTCTTTGGACTGCAGCTGCCCGTGACGATTGCTACGCCTTTGCCCTTGCCAGTGCAACGCTCGAGGTATTATGTGAGGCTTTCCTGCCCACTCGCAAGCGCCTTGTTGATGTGCCGGCCACTCCCTCTGGGAGCCAGGTCCCCGCCCCGGGTTTGCGCCGAGCTCTCACACTTGCCGACAAAATTCCCTCCACCGTTGTGCATGAGCATCCTTTTCAGCAAAATCTTTGGTCCACTGGTTTAGGGATCTGCAAAGACAGTCTTGCCAATGCCATCCAGGTTGGCAACGTCCCGGTTCCCTTTACCTGGCAACAATTTGTTCAGCTGTTTGGCCAAGGTGCTCCACTTGCTGACTTTGCCCAGGCTTCTGCTTTCTGTCCGGCTCTGCGTCAATGGAGCCGACCTGGGCTCACTGCAGCTTTGTCTTCTGCCTGCCAGGCGTATCCAGCTGATGACATTGTTTGCTTCACTGATGGATCCTATACCGCTGTTGAGACCGGACCAGACCTGTGCGGCTGGGCCTGTGTCCTGTTTCATTCTGGATCCCAAACTGTACGTTTTCTGTACGGGTCCTTCCCCAACTTCCTCGCTGAAAAGGACTTTTGCCCTTCCTCATTCCAGGGAGAAGTTGCGGGTCTGCTGGCAGCTGCCCTAGCCACCACTGCCACGACCCGTATTGGTGTCCATTTTTTATAGCGGAAGGGGTCTGCTCTTTTGTTCAGGGTAGTGTAGCCCAGACCATGCGCAATGCGCACTGGCTGCGTTCGTGCCTTGTCCCCGGTCGAGACTCCTATGGGCACATCCGAGGACATCAGGGGCATGTGGGTAATGAGGTTGCTGATGTTTTAGCCAAAGCCGCCGCCCGCAACGCCGGTCCCTCCTGCGGGCTCAGAGCCCACGTCCCTCTTGTGTGTGCCTGGCTCGGCGTTGGAGCTCCTTACCTCCCATGGGCCGGTTTGGCTATGCGCAATCTGGCAGGAGACTTCTCTCTACCACCATGCCAGGCTGCTAACCTTGGCGACGACCAGCATCACTCCGGCCTTACCTGTGCCGATCTCCTTGAGCCATTCATGCCGCAAGGGGCCATGCAGACGCCCGGGGCCTCTTGTGAAGGGGCCATTGCCACTGATGCAGATGCGCCACCCAGTCTGCCGACATTCTCTCTTACCCTGGCCACTTTCAACGCACTGTCTCTCGGGCCTTCCTCGGAGCAAGCTGGGAACCCCGATGGGATTGAAGGCTTAGCTTTTCGACCTGCCAGAGCCGTCATGCTGGCTGCACAGCTCGCCGATCACGGCATCCATGCTGTATGCCTGCAGGAAACCAGGGCCGAAGCGGGCTTTTCGAGGGCTGGAGGTTTTCTGCGCTTTGCTAGTGGTGCTAGTCGCGGCCAATGGGGCACGGAGTGGTGGTTTCAGGAGAACCACCCCCTCACATCGCACTCCTCCGACTCCCCGGCTTTCAGGGAAAAACACTTCGCTGTTGTTTTCTCGGATGCCCGACGGCTCTTTGTCCGATTTGTGTGCAAGCCGATTAAAATCCTCTTTGTAGGGGTGCATGCTCCGCATAGAGCGACTGAAGCTGAGGCCCTGCTAAGCTGGTGGGAGCAGACGTCTAAGCTTGTCAAGCAGCTTGTTCGAGACGAATGGGTGGTTTTTGCTGGCGACTGCAATGCTGCTGTTGGGTCAATCGGCTCGGACCATATCGGCCAACACGGGGCCGAGCAGGAGGACACTGCCGGCGAGCAACTGCATTCTTTACTGCGATATACTGACTGCTGTATTCCTGCCTCCATGCCTGAGCTCCATTCTGGCCCCACCCACACATACACTCACAAGCGAGGCGGTGGCCTCGCTCGCATTGACTACCTGTGTGTGCCTCGCTCCTGGCTACGAGGCAGCTGTCGGTCGTACCCTGTCCCAGGCGTCCATGCTGCTCACAGTTGCCCAGACCACGTTGCAGTTGCTCTACATGTGCAGTTTCCTCTCCAAGGGGCATCGCCCACTCCGTTGCTTCGACCCCGGACCTTTTGTGCTGCAGATGTGCTGGCACCAGCCAATGCGGATGCTCTCGAGAAAGCCCTCTCCGAGCTCCCAACTGTACCGTGGAATGTCTCCGCTCATGCACACGCAGCAATTTTGGTTTCCTGTGTCCAGCGGATCCTCACTGACTTGAAACGCAAGAGCGGGCCTCGTCTGCATCGCAGTTACTTGCAGGCGACCACTTGGCAACTGCAGCAGCAAGTCGCAGCAGCACGCAGGTCTCTGCATCGTTTATACAACACCAGATCCGATGCCAAAGACTTGCTGTTTGCTTTGACACTTGGTGCGGTCGGCGTGATGCTCCTGCGTCTGACAGCGGTGCCTCCTGGTGGCGACGGGCTGATGTTGCCGTTGCAGCACATCAGGCCGTGTTGGGCCAGTGGTGCTCAAGGCTTCGGCAGGCCTGCCGTAGTGACAGAGCTGCACACCTCAGCTCCCTTGCTGATCGCATTTCCACTGGGCCATCGGACGAGGTCTTCCAGAACCTCCATGCCCTTCTGTCGCACAAACGCAAGAAGCCGTATCGGGCGGAGCCCCTGCCGGCCCTTCAACTCGAGGATGGCACCTTGTGCGCGGATGGTGACCATATTCTCGCCCGCTGGCGGCGCCATTTTGGAGGACTCGAAGCTGGTGTAGAGCTCTCTGTCCCCACCTTGGTTGACCAAGTCAGTCGGGGCCTTTCTGAAGATGCCGCTGATTCTCCTGTTTGGCCGCCCCCAGACTCCCTGCTCGATTTGCCGACCGAAGCTGACATTCAGCGGCTTCTTGTGCAGGCAAAAGCCAACAAGGCTCCTGGGCCAGACGGGCTGCCAGCCGAGCTCGGCAAAAAATTCTCGAAGCAGCTTGCACCTCACCTGCACAGGCTAGCTTTGAAGACAGCTCTACGAGGGTGTGAGCCTGCCGGATTCAAGTCGGGCAAGGCTGTCTGGTTCTTTAAAGGGAAAGGTTCTATGAGCGCTTGCAGCTCGTACAGAGCAATCCTTCTCCTCCCTACTTGGAGTAAGATCCTTCATCAATCGCTCCGCCCGCCTTTAAAGCAGCACTTCCAGACCCAATCTCCTGAGCTACAGCTTGGTGGTAAATCCGGCATTAGCGTCGTCTTTGGAAGCCATCTCATCAGAGGAGCCGCGCGTTTTGCTGCCTCCCAAGGCCGCACGCACTTCACTCTATTCACGGACATCGCATCTGCCTTTTACACCGTCATACAGCAGCTTGTTGCTCGGCATGGCGACCAACCAATCGATGATCCCGCCTTCCAGCAGGCCACACGTGGCCTGCAGCTGTTACCAGAAGAGTCTGCGGCTCTGCGTCGGCACCTGCTTGCTCCCACAGCTATGAGTGCTTCAGGAGCCTCCCCCTGGCTCGAAGCCTTGACCAGCCGCTACCAACGCGGAAACTTTTTTATGTTGAAAGGGGATGACAAGGTTGTTGCGACCTCAAGAGGTTCTAGGCCAGGCTCCAGCTGGGCGGATCTAGTCTTTGCCGAGGTTGTGGCGAGGGTCCTCCAGCGCCGAGATGCCCTTCGAGCTGCCGGCCACCCCTGCTCCGAGCCGGTTCGGCTGCCATGGGATGGTGAGCGCTCTCTAGCTCCTGTCACCTCCCCCACTGACGAGCTCACCCTTGACAATGTCGTGTGGGCAGATGATGTTGCCCTTCCACGCCTGACCACTCCTGCTCAAGCTGCATCTGCCCTTGCTTTTGAGACTAGCTGCCTGGTCGACTCCTTCAAGGAATTCGGCTTCTCCCTTGCGTTTGGACCCCATCATAAGACAGCAGGAACATTGCTGGGGCTGGCAGCCGAGCAGCCAAACGCCACATTTTCGGCTCTAATGGGCTCGCCGGAGCTGTGCCAGTTGTCTTTGAGAGTGGCAGTGTCCGCCTACCTTTGGTGCCTTCCTACAGGCACTTGGGCACTCAGCAAAGCCCAGGAGGAGGGCTGGCTTCAGAGATCCGTTACCGGATTGCACAAGCACGTGCCTCCTACGCGGAAGGCCGTAGGAAGGTATACAAGGTCTCGCAAATCTCGGTCCGGAGGAAGGCTCACATTTTAGCCGCGACTGTCTTGGCCAAACTCTTCCACGGAGCGGGGTCTTGGGGTCCCCTGAGCAAAGGGGAGCACCGCTTGCTTCAGGGTGCTCTGTGGTCTTTTTATAGACCCCTCCTTGGGATCAAACACTCCGATGATCAGCATGTCGACATCTTCTCGTGCCTGGCTATCCTCGAACTTCCCAGCCTTGATACCTGGCTCCGCTTCCACAGACTCACATACTTTGGCCAAGTTGTATCTTCAGCGCCCTCTGTGGTCTGGGCAATTCTGAAAGCCGACCGCCCACATGCCTCGTTACTCCAGGAGGACCTACGTTGGCTGCATCAGTGGACTTGGAGCACTTCCGGCATGCCCTGTCCAGCTCGACACTGGCCGGCTTGGCTTGCATTTATCGACGGCTCGCCTCGGAAATTCAAGGGACTAGTCAAGAGAGCCAGAGCCTTGGAGGGGCGGCGTGTCCAGATTGTTGCCGCACTCCAGTGCCTTCATCGGTCCCTGACCTCTTCCTTTGGAAGCTTCCAGTGTGGATCCTTGACTGAGTCCCCTGAGTGGCCGGAAGTCTGCATTCCATGTCGTCGCGCCTTTGCCAACCGTCGCGCATGGGCCGGGCACTGTGCCCGCAAGCATGGCTACCGCAACCACGCTTTTCTCTGTGCAATTGACACGCTCTGCAGAGCATGCGGCAAGCGGTTCTCTTCCGTCGGGCGCCTCAGGAGACACCTTACAGCCCAGCCCACTTGCATTGCTGCGTGGGGCTCCTTTATGCCCGAGGAGGCCAGACATGCCCAACTTCATGCTCAGGCTCCTCCCGAGTATGTCCAAGGCCTCGCCTCTCTCGAGGCGGGTTGGAGCATCCGGACCGACATCTCTCCTGGGTTGTTGGAGGAACTTTCCTCTTTGGAGCCACCAGACGACACTTGTGCTTGGGAAACCGTTGCCAGCTATGTCGAGCCGCTGGCAGTACTTCGGGCTACGGTCCAGGAATGGTGCAATGCCCAGGATGCTACTCCAGAGCGGATCGATGTTGGCCGAAACATGCTCCTGCTTCTGGATGTTGACCTGTTGGCTGATTCACGACAGCCTTTGTCTGCCCCCCACAGCCACGACACCGGGACCGTCCCTGCTTGGCCTTTGCCAGGAGCGGGCTCTCTTATTTGTGGCTTTCCGCGCCAGGCCTTTGCACTTGCTCCACCACCCTCCCAACTACTTAGTCCGTGGCATCCCACAAGCATGAGGTTGCGAGATGCTACAGGCCACGCTGTCTGGCTAGAGGACGCCTGTCTGGTCCTCGCCGGACTTGTAGAGACTTCACAGACGCGACCGTGCCATGTACAGTGTGCCGGCATCGAGGAAGCCTTAGGACCTGCTGCAGAGTGGCTACGTGCTGTAGGTTTTCAGGTCACCTCCGACGAAGTCTCTACCCCGAGGTGATGGCTTTCTGTTTCACTCCGAATTTATCTGCTAGGCGAGCGCCTGGACAAGGCTCAACCGCTGCGAATGAAAAAACAACCGCAATGCTGGCATACAACAGGGATGTCGCCTCCCACTTGTGTCGCAAGTATTCTAAGTTCCCCTTGGGTTTATATGTGCATAACCACAAGTGTGTATGTGTAAATACTTGTGTATACCTGGGTATACATGTTACATGTGTAGATACATGCATATACGTGTGTGCAGATAGAGCGGTAGAGAGATGGATAGGTTCTTAGATTAGATAGATAGAAAGATAGAAGGAAGCAGATGTATCATTTTATCCCACGCCGTATTGATTGATATCACAGCTTGTTCATCGGTGACCGCCTGAGGCAAGAACTTCTCCAGGACTGCTGGAAGCGGTGTAGAGCTTTGGGTGAGCGCCGGGTTTTGGATGTAGACTCTGTAGAACTTTGGGTTGAGGGTTTAGTGCTGGGAATATTGCTGTATACACAGGTTCCATCTTGAGCATTTCTGAAAACCTGTCACGGCTTGCCACCTAGGCGGCAAGCACCCACTTCCAGAAATGAAGCGACATGAGGCATCTCTGAGCAACGCATGGTGGATAGCCTGGATGGCCATACACATGTCCGCGGGCAATGTCAGTCTCACGATCAAGTGCGCCTCCTATGATGCTCACCCTTTCACACTTGAACTTGAACGCATGACTATGGTGGAGGTCTGCAGACACTTGCAAGCCTACACCCGACATGTACGGCGTGGAAAACCCTCACTTCACTAGTCCAACCATCACGCCCTACATAACTGTGCGTGGACCGCCTGGGCACGATAAGCTTTGACAGTGCTGCTAAAAGGCAAGACTGGCGCTTTCAGTCGTCAGAACCGAATTCCTCTAACCAAAGAACTCAAAATATCAGTGCCCTTACCATGACCAACAGGAACTGGCACCCAAGAGCCCGCACCGCCACAAACCCCAGTGTAACACCCTTATGCTACCTTCTGAAACCTCAAGTCACAAGTATCCTCGTATAAACCCCCGGCACCCTGGAATCTCTCCTTCGCAGGATTGGCGGTGCCAAAACCCGGATGTTTGCAACAGCTGCAACTGACCTGGTGTCGATGTCCGAATCTTATGAGGGTTCGTTTTCGGGTGGAGATGTGTGTGTGTGTGTGCGTGTTATATGTATATATATATATATATATATATATATATATATATATATATATATATATATATATATATATATATATATATATATATATATATATATATATACATATACATATATATATATATATATATAGGTTTTACTTGTCATATGTTAGAACTGTATGCATACAGCCATGCCCACATACACACGCACATCTTTTGGCAAAGTTCTGTGTATTCGGGCACTTTGAGGGCTGCATGAGCGTTTAGGGTTGTTTCGAGGTTCGGTGTTCAGTTCGGGTACAGTATCTTCAACTTCTGTGGCCCAACTGTAGACACATTTCATCTCTGCCACCTCTTGCCACTACCTGAGCGGGACGGACACACACACACAAGCACACGCACACGCACACGCACACGCACACACACACACACACCACACACACACACACACACACACACACCCACACACACACACAACACACACACACACACACACACACACACACACACCGGCCGAGGCATTTTGAGCAGTTCAGCTCAGTTGCAAGTGGAAGCAGCGCTTGCAGGAGTACGATTCCAAAGTATAATATAGTGCAGGTGGTACGGTTGATGACTATCGTGATGTTTTCTCGTATTGTTACTAGTGGAAGAAGCACAGGTGGCAACAGTAGTAGCACATTCGCTGCAGCATCGGATACCACACTGCCAACCACGAAAACCATGGCATGGGGCTCCATGTCGACCTCTCACCACGCACATCATTGCTTTGAGTTTATCTGTAACTATCTGTATGTTTGAGTGGTAATATGACTAATATGAAAGTGGCTAAAGCTACATAAAGAGTATGTACACCTGGCCTGCATTGTAAATGCTAGTTGGTCCCTTATACAGACACGCAGTGCTTCCTTGTGTTAATTCCTTCAACTTGCGTTAGCCCCCGGACAACCTTGCAACCTGCTGTGAATCGCCATCAACCTCCAAGCTTGTGGATCTTGTCATACACTGGCCAGGTGCACTAAACGCGAAGCTCCCTAAACTCCCAGCACATTTGACCCCTGAACCCGGCAAAACGCGGCTCACCCGAGGCCGGGGTACCGGCCCCCTACGCCTCCGAGGGAGCCCGAGGCCTGATGGGCGACCCTTCGTTAAGTAAGAGGGTTAGGGGTTTAGGGTTTCTTAAAGGGTTTCCGGGTTAGGGGTTTGGTCAAGAGTCGACCTAGACAATGCTGCTATGGGGCGAGCATTCTGGCTGAGATTGTTTCTGTTCTGGATGTAAAATAAGGGAGCACCGCCCAAGAATTACCAAAGATAGAGGCTCCTGCAGACATGTGCGAGTCAGTCGAACATGCTGAAGAGATGATCTGCCCTGAGAAGAACAGTACTCGGTAGGTCGGTGGACTCGGTGACCCCAATTGGCGTGCTGACCTTACCTATAATATGGCAGTTTTCGAAAATGGGGGACCCTAATATAGTACCCTAAACAGCAGGATCCTTATTATACGGACCCCGAAGTAAGGTACGTACCCTAATTTTCGGAAACCCTCATATCGCTGATACCAACTTATATCACAGTTTCTTAACCTTGAGACGCCAACAACCACCACGAAGGATGCAGGTGCTTCGGGATCTTAGGCTTGCAAGAGCAGAACAAAACGGTCTGCAATGCCGCACCACTACTACTACTACTACTACTACTACTACTACTCCTACTACTACTACTACGACTACTACAACTACTACCACTACTACTACCGTTACTATTATTATTACTAGTACTGTTACTATTACTGCTACTGTTACGATTACTATTACTACAACTATTGGCAGTAAACGTACCAATACGAAGGCACCGGAAACAAAGCAGTGCTGGAAACGAATTCTGAACAGGGTATCATTAGCATGACGAAACGTTTTCGAGCATCGCGCCTCCCCCTCTGCAAATCCATTAAAGGCACTAGAAGACTACTTAGTTTTTTCTTTCGCGATTTTCTCAATGGAGGGTGTGAGGAGATGGAGCATCCCAAACCTTACAAGCACTGTTGCGACTGTTAGACCCACCAACTACCCTGTATAATGTAGATTAAACATTTGTGTCAAGGACCGCCGGGACCCTTTTCAGGGTACAGCCGTACCTAAATCCGAAATCCTCAAGCTTTTGAATGTTATAGATAAGCCTGCGAGCAACAAGCCCTAGCATCGTTTGAGACTTCATTTTTGCCGGCGCAGGCAATTGTGAAAGAAGCCATGTCTCTTCTGCACAAGTGGAAGCTGCACCAGGAGGTCTGATTCATGGCTTAGGGTTTAGGGTTTATCCAAGGGCCAAGGGAGGGACCCTTAACAAGGACCCCTAGGTATATACCCTGAGTATAGCTATTATATACCCATTATATAGCCCATTATAGGGTATGGGTCCTCATTAAGGGTCCCTCCTTTTCCCCTTTGAGTTTAGTGTCTCTGGTTTGGGGGTTGATGGGTTTCGGGTGTGGAGCTTGGAGAGTTGACGTGCGTAGTCTACCGAGTCTATAGTGCTTAAGGCTTCACGCCATAAAGGGAACCCCAGAAAGTTGGAATATGGATTAATGGTAGGATCCCCTATAATTTACCTTAAAGGGGTTACGATAATGATATTCCAGCTTTCTGGCTTCACGCCAAAGGACTTTGGGATTCAGTTCTTTCGCGTTCAGGATTTATAGCACTGGGTGCACAGCAACTGCTGTGAAAAGGTCACAAGACACGATCGTAGCAGCCTAGAAGCCCCAGTTGTGTATATCATGGTTAATTGCTCATTATGGTTACATAGGGACAGCGAGCCTGCCTTATAGTTGCAGGCTGTGCCGAAGCATTGAGGGAATTTGGGCTTTCCAGACTTCAGTCAAGCACGCCGCCTCGAGTGTGCATTCTAGCGCGCAGAGAAAGACTCGGCCTGGAGGTCATCCCCTCATCATTTTTTTTGTGTGTGTGTGTCCTTGTCCGGACTATCTTTTCGCCGATTTTTTTCGGGGCTCAGTAGTAGGGGGTGGGCGCTGTACTTGCAGATACGCGTCGTGCCCAATCTCCTCTCCTCCCCGGCATGGCAACGACCGATGTGCAAGCACCCTGGACCAACTCCTGGCAGCTGCTCGGCTTACACGGTTCAGGGTCCAGGGGGTCAGGGCTTCGGGGATCAGGTTCCAGGGCTTCAGGATTCAGAGGGTTATAAATCTGAGAGGGTTTCCGTTATTCTTCTTGTTGTTTGTGTCATTGCTATTGTTGGTGTCAATGTCATTGTTGTCATCAGGTGTCATGGTTCTTAATTATCAGTAGTAGTATTGCAATGATTGTTGTTGTCGTGGTTATGATTCTGATGTGCCAGTTACCGTTGTCATTATCTTCGTTGTTAATGTGATTATTGTCTTGTTTTGTTTTACTATGTTGAGTGTTGCTACGATTACTATTATCACTATTGGTGTTGTGGTTATTTGTTGTTTTCATGTGTGTTACTAGTGTTGTCGTTCTTTGTTATTGTATTCATTCTAGTCACTATTACCACTGTGACTGTTGTTTGTTACAAGTACAATTACTGTGATTGGTATTGTCATTGTTTTTATTACCAGTAGTATTCTTACAGTCTCACATGTGTGTATATATATATGTATACACATATACATATATATATACATATATATATCCAGCAGACAGATATACTGTTAAGACGAAACCTAAACGTGATTTGGGCCAAGGCGATGGTATACCTTTACCAGCTTCGATGGATTGATGGTCAAAGTGGAGCTTCGTGGCCAAGGCGTCTGCGACGCCGACCTGCCCTCACTCTTTCGTCACGTGGGCTTCCGGGTGCAGGCCGCTGGCCCCTCTTATGCCTTGGATCTATCAGATAATGCAGGAATCACGGATTATGGCGTGACAACTAGCCTGGTACCATTCTTGCGGCAGTGGCCGCAGTGTTCTTCGCTGAAGCTTGCTCGGACTGCCATCGGGGACATGTCATTGCAGGCATTGGCTGATTGGATGTCCAATTCTTTGGTTAGCGAGGTGGATCTCTCGCAAGTTGGTGGAAGCATCACGAGCAAGGTTGCCGTCGACACGCTGCAAAGGGTTATCTCTCGACGAAGAGCCTTGCACAAGGACAGGTGTGATGCGGACGCCAAGGTATGGTTGTGTCTGGAGCTCAATGGCATCGAGGGTGTTGAGACGGCTCTTACACATGTAAATGTTTGGGATCGGAGCTGTGCTGGCTGGAAGCGCAGATCCACATGTAAAGCCAACAAGATCCCAGTCATAGAACTTAGCCTGTATCCGTCCATTTTGGAGCCGCATCCATCTAACCGTGGGAAGGAGATCTTGTCAATTCTTAGGGGGAGCTCGTCTACCCGATGTGTGGTTGAGCCACTCGCCTTGAGTGTCGATGAGTTTCAGATGTATTGCATGGAAGCACGCGAGGCCGCAGAAGCCGGCGCTGATCGCAAGAACCACGAGACCTTCGGAAAGGATTCCGTGGTAGATGGCTGGTCTTTCGAGAGGAATATCGAAGCGAACCAACTCTTGAAGAACGCTGTCCGAGTCCCATCCAGGACTCTGGCGACTCCTGTAGTTGCTGTGCTGAAGAATCCAAAAGGGCACGAGTCCCGCGAGAAGGATAAATTTGAAAAGAAAGACAAGAAGGACAAGAAGGATAGGAAGGACAAGCATGAGAAGCATGCTGACAGCCCGCAGAATGCTGCCAAGTCTGCAGTAGATGGGGCGGTGCGCTCAATCCTGAAGAGTACATCTGTGCTCCATGCTAGCGACTTCCGCGGCAACGTGAGGGAGTGGCTAGTGGCAATTCACAGGACATCCGGTAGCAAGGGTGTTGCCGAGGCTGCAGAGCTCATTCATGCCACCGTGGCTTCCAAGCGACGTGAAGATGTGACGAAGTGGACCGGGTACCTCAGCAAGCTGCTCGAGAGGTTCCACACGCAACTTCGACCCACTGTCCATGTGCAGTTGCAGTGAGACCACGCCACCGAAAATGCTGGTTACATCATTATGGGACACCAGCATATTTACGTGACTTGATTGTGTGCATTCGCTCTTTCTGCAGATTGATCAACGATTCTGCCGACTTTGCATATACGCTGACGTATGTGTCTACGGACAGCCAGTGCATACCAGCTTCACTATCCACAGATGCACACTTTGCCCACTCACCAGGTGTCCTTTTCGCATTTGAAAGTGAGCTACTACCGGAGTGTTGCTTGAGTAAGCGTCACTGGTTAATGTGTATGTGAATGTTGCTCGTAGAACCAGGTTCTAAGACAACCCCAACCTTCCAAACCCACTTGTTGTTGTGTGCCGAAGAGGACTGCCAAGCGCCTGTAAGCAGCGATGTACAGTACCAGTTTATGGCCTATGGCTGTGGGCCTAGGACACAGCGCCTGGAGTTTCAATCTCTACTTTTGCAGGGCGTTCATCAGTTGGATTATACACACTTTGCTACTTGTAGCACTTTCGTTGTCCATCATGAGGTTTCGTCAGTGTGGAAAAGGGCTCGCTTGCCGGCGAGACGGATCCACACATTCGCTCGACACTGTTCGATGTGATCCGGCTCCACAAGTATTTTGCAAGTCGGATGAACACCCCTTTGCCATTTATACAGTTGTAAGGGGCCCGCAGTTCTCTGATCATCTGCCTACAAACCCTTTCGTGATGAATGACTGCAACACCGTACAGAAATCATGCGGTAGCTTCGCAGAGTGTGCACAGCTCAAGACACGAATCACAAGATTGGTAGCTTCAGATCTTCACATCGTTCGAATCAAATCTGCAAACCTAGTTTATGTAAGCTGTCGAATCGAAAGCCTTCCGGTACCCCCCGCAACTCAGCTCAAAAGCATCACAAGTAGAAGATCTGCATACTTGGTGGCAGGTTCAACTTAGTGATCTCCTGCAAAGCACCCAGTCCCCAGTCCCCGCCATACCCTAAACGTCCAATCTCCTGGGCGACAATGCCCGTCAGCCCTTGGAAGGAAGCCTTCAAAGGAACCCTAAACCATAAACTGCTATGGGAACACTATAGTCACTATAGTTCTTTATAACCCTGAAAAGATGGATGGGCTCCGTATTCGTCCAGTACAGGCCATCGGGCTTGGGCGAACCTTTTCGCAGGCTGCTTCAGCCTGCAATTGGAAGATCGGGGTAGGCTTTCGCAAGTTGGGTCCTGGGTAGCGGTAACAGACATCCAGCTCGAACCCAAACTAAACCAGGCTAGCCTTTACTGCATGCCGCCCGATCCTCTAAGCAAAAAAGCCTGCGTGAGGCTCTGATACTGGGATCCCGGTGCTTTCCGGGATCTCATGTCCGAACATCGACCATTTCATGCTTTCATTTCATGCGAAGTACCGTTGTTGCACAGGTTGTCTCGAAACCGGGTCGTGCTTGTTGAACGAATGGTAGCTTCTATGAGCAGAGATAATTCAACCGGAACCTCGAACCCTAAGACCAGACTTTGTGTATGTTTCAGCCCTGAAACCACTATGAATCAAGGGCAGGCTTGTCACATTGGCATGTGTGGCACCTCGCTGGCAAAAGAGTGCCCGGTGGCTTTGTTCATCGTGGTGATTCCATGGCAATCCCTGAAACTTGAAAGCCCAAACTGTTCCACTGCTTCAGAGTGCGGTGCTCTGTGGGGCTTCGAGGAAGGCCCTGAGGGTACTGTGATACGGTAGAAGCATTGTTGAACTTGAAGAATGAAGAACAGTCTTGTGAAGGCTGGTAGAATTATCGAAGCCCCTGAAGCCCTAGCTCCTGACTTCGAGACCTCTAAGTAAACATGCTCTTTCCTACAACCTTGGCCCCAAAACTCTGAACCCAACACAGGTTTACAGTAGAAGCCCAAAAGTTGGAAACCCCATAGCCTCAATCCTTAAGTGTGATGTATAAGGAATCCCAGCACTCTTTGGCCTTAATCAAGTTTCCAACTTCATGGGGTTTAGTGTAATATATCCCCAAAACCCTATTCTAATCATAAAGGCCCCTCTAGTAATCATTATGGGGTTTGCTATAGTCCCAAGTCCAAAGGGTTTACTGTAGGGTTTGCAGGGTTTATGGGGTTGGGATAGTTTGGCACGAGGACTCCGCCTCGTAAGGGTGTAGGACTCCGAGGATTCCAGGGTGTAAATGTCTGAATCTTCTGGTTCTGGCTGTTGGGATTGGAGTTTCAAGGTTAGGGTTTAGGGTTTAGGGTTTAGGGTTTAGGGTTTAGGGTTAGGGCAGGCCTTTGAGCCTCTTTGTGGGATAAGGCTTCGTAACGCCTGGCGATTCTCTGAGAGTCCCAGAGGTCGCTCATGCTTTGTGCGATGCGCTCCTCCACATGGCAGAGGCCGTGGTCCTGTGTTTCCTTTGATGCCTTCCTCTGTTAAGGGGTTTTAGGGTTTAGGGTGTGGGGGGGCTGACAATATGTATACGCTACACTGTAGCCTGTTTTGTCGCCACAATGTAAACTGTGGGCAATTGCCGTAATGTAAACTGTAGAGAGGAACCCCCTCCTCAAAGAAACTCAGGACCTTTGACTGCGGCCGCAGAAAGATAGTGAGAATGATGCATGGGACTTAGTAACTAGGGTTATAAGCATGGTTATAAGTACCCTAGGTGGGGTTATAAGTAGCTATAAGTATAGTTATGCTTGCCGCACTTTCGACCCCAAGTCACTCGCCAAACCCGAATGGCTGCAAGTGGCTCATATGCAACAGCGAACCCCAATCAACGTCACCACACCTTCATCCTCCATCATCCCTCAAAGCTGCTTTCACCTGCAACTCGTTTCTACCGTTCTTTTCTTTCTGGCTGGTTTTGCATGACCAGTACCAGCAGAGTACTTTGATTGCATCCTATGCATTGGTGCTTGTCCATGTTTTGTACCCACTGCGATCAGCCCTGACTTACAATTCATGTGGAGAGCTGCTTGTTCGAAGTGAGCTTGAGGCAGGTAGTTAGAAAGAAAGATAGGTATGACATTGAGTTAGATAGAAACATAGATAGGTAGACCGATACACAGATTGACAGAAAGGCAGACTCGCAAAGACAGACAACCAAACAAACAGACAGACCGACACACCGAGAGACAGACAGATGGATCCTGACAGCGGCTCTCATCTCTGAGTCCTCGAATTCTTTGTGACAGGGACAGGAACCTTCTGACCCATAGTCGATCACTGAAAGATCCTGGGTACCCCAAGACCCCACTTCTCAAACCTTGGACCATACAGCTCTGCCAACAGTCCGAACATGCAGACACTTGAAGCCCAGTAAGATAGGAAGTAGGTCAGCATCCGAATAACAGTCTTCGTATAGTAGCCGTTATATAGGTAGCAAATTCTTCCCGTAGGGGCAACTACACAAAATCCATCATTCAATCCATTGGCCCTTTTGCGACCTGGACCATGGCTGCGGCCATTGCCGCTGCCCTGCAGCAAAGCGCAACCTGTCGCCAACGAAGTTTAGAGTTTATAGGGGCTAAGGGTTTAGGGTTTAGGGTTTGACGAAATTTAGAGTTTAGGGGCTGGGGGTTTGGGATACTTCCAGCTTGGCTTCGCAAAATGCTCTATGGAGCCATGTCCTTATGGTCAGGAGCCGGCTATGTTGGTCGGCTACGATCCCTCATGTCGTGTAACTCCCATGGAAAGCAGGGCAAAAAGATAGACAGACTGACAGGGACAGGGAACGAGAGAGAGAGAGAGAGAGAGAGAGAGAAAGAAAGAGAGAGAGCGAGCGAGCGAGAAGGGGCGCGGGCGGGGAGGGAGAATAGCACAGTCACGATCGACTTAGTACACAAATCCTGACCCTTGTCCAACACTAAACCCCTATAGGCCCCAGACCCCAAAGCCCTAACACAGAAGCCTGACTAATTCATTGCACATAACATTCATGACATACTAATTATTGGGTATTCCGTAGATTTCCGTTTGTCAGTGTGCAACCTTGGTCTAAAGTACAGGCCCTATCTAATCTAATGAATCATCAACCCTAAGTTCGCCAAGGTGTCGCGCATCACCGCACTGTCCGATAGCCGCCTCAAGGAGGTTGGGTTTTGGCATTTGGGGCTTTGGGTTTAGGTGCTACGGGTTGTTTCCACTGGGTATTTCTATTTTGTGGCTTTAGATCCCTTTAAATTTACGCTTTAGGTGTTTTCGTTGAGTATTCCTCACGAATCGTGATTGGCTTTATTGCAAAATGAAAGCCCAGTGGGTCTTGCAACTTCTTTATTGGCTGCGGTCAAAGCGGACATCGTCTTCTTTGTTGTTACGGGAAGACGAGTGATAAATTCCCTACATCAGATAGGAGCCTGAATCATGCGTAGCACCATTATCTAGCAATCTCTGGTATGTACATATATATATATATGTATATATATATATGTATATATATATATATACATATGTATATATATATGTATGTATATCTATCTATCTATGTACCTATCGATCTATCTATCTATCTATCTATACATATACATATACATATACATATATACATATACATATATACATATATATATATACATATGCCACTGTAGAACCTCAAAATCTTAAGTACTCGAGTTGTTGATGCCTCTATGGTACCTGCATGCTGCTGTAGGGTTATATACACCGGTCGTAACGTTGACAGTTACTCAAGAGGCCACAGCCTGCCATTTGGTAACGCTTGGTGCCACAAGTGGGGTTTTCGGTGGGAGGGGTTTCGGGGTCCAGGGTACTCGGGTCGACAGTATATAAACGATTTCGAGGTTTGGGGTTGAAGGGTTCAGGGGCTCGAGCATTTGAGGCTCTTGTCGGTCAGGATATATATGCAGCATGGTGGGTTACAGGCTTACGGTTTTGGGGCAAACCGAGCTTGGAGCCGACCCTAATCCCTAAACTTATTAAAGGATCATGGGACTTCGTAACTAGGGTTATAATTAAGGTAACGGTACTTATAATTAGATATAACCCCACTTAGTGTGCTGCAAACCATACTTACTAAGTCCCATGATCCTCCAAGTAGCCGTGTTGGAGGAATGGGCTGAGCCTCGCCAGAGGATGTATACTTGCCGCCGTTCAGGTGCACTCTGATGTAGCCAGTGTGCCATCAATAGTCTGAATAGTTGGACTTATCATTCTATATCCTAGTGTGCTTTATCACCGTGTATTGTGTCATATTACACTACTTTAGTTTTGTTATATTACATTACACTGCAGTATGGGGTTTATAACATAGTGTACTATGTCATAATATGATATCATGCATTGTATGGTCTTCAACTTGATTTCTGTTGCGCTACAGTATTTTTATTGTTATTATCAATATATATATATATATACATATATATACACATGCATGTAGATACACATATACATATATACATACTTGTTATGTTCTGCCATAACTCTTCATTATGTTTCTTCAGACAGCTGATCTTATTCTGTTGGTTTGTAAATTCCATTGTGCTGCATTGTTTCGCAGTATATTTTATAGCAGTTCATACCACCTTATGTCACATTATATAACATCACGTTATGCTATTGGTCTCTGTACAGTTTTAGCCTAGCTTACCTGCAGTTGCCACCACCAGGCTCTTTCTCACAGGTGCTCAGCAGCCACATCATTTCTTGTCCATCACGGGCCATCACGCGTGTGGTGAGGCTCCTGAAAGCCGAAACCCCTGCAATGGAAATGTGCCCGAAACCCTTGAAGCCTAATTACCCCACTTCAAAAACCCGTAAACCCCACCCCGAAAGTGCCCGAAACCTTTTGAACCCGAATTACCCCAAGTCAAAAACCCCTAAATCCCACCCCGAAACTCCGAAGCCCGGAGCACCTCACCTTGCTTAAAGGATCATGGGACTTAGTAACTAGGGTTATAATTAAGGTAACTATACTTATAGTTAGATATAACCCCACTTAGGGTACTTATAACCATACTTGCTAAGTCCCATGATCCTCCAAGTGTCCAGGATGGACCTGAAGCTTTCGAAGCCTTCCGTCGAGCTGTAACGCAGGCACTCGGCACTCGGCTTTGGGGTTTAGTTTAGGGGCCTTAACAATTAGAATAGGGTTTGGGGTCCCAGTATACTATAACTGTAATAAGGAACGGAACCCCCCCTAATGGTATAGGGAATTATGACGGCCCCATCATTAGGCTTCAGTGCTCAGGATGTCTGGTGGGGAGGGCAAGTGTAAGGCTTGCGAGCTTGCGAGGGGTTGTAGAGTGTATGGGTTATGGTTACGGGACACTTACCCCCAAAACCCCTCAACCCCCCAAACCCTGCAGGTCTTCACAGAAGGATGCCGAGGGAGCAAAGCAGCAGATCAGGCTCCCTATCATACTCAACGATCATCGAGCTTAACACAGCCCAGAATCCTGCTCTCTTCATTAAAAGAGTCTGCATATCCTATATATACTGTTTACTCCGCGATAAGCCTTGGGCTTGATCCCTGGGGAACTGTGAGCTTCGGTCTCGATTCACAACCCGGAGCAGACCGAACGGAGGATCGGGTTTCGGGCTAGGATTTTAGGGCTTATGATGTAGGTTTTCGAAGCCCTTGAACTGTAAGTTGATAGGGTTTAGGGTTTAGGGCCGAAGGCTTCAGGGTTTTAGGAACCTCCTGAACCAGAAACATCGAGGGTCGCATTTTGCAATAGTAGTGTGGCTGAAGCTGAGAGAGATATACATGCAGATTTGAATTGGCGGGTTGGCAGGGGTACGGCAGTACAGAAGATAAAGTCCTGGAATGTCGAGCAACATTACGAATGCAAGTGAGGATTGAGCGAGTCGGCGTGTACGTTTGCATGGTTGTGTGTTTGTTTTTCTACTGTGAATGTGCACGGGTATGTACGTCTGTCTGGAGAATCCGTTCATTCTGCAGTCAGACGTTTTGTATGAAGGTTATGTATGCTGCTATGCGTAAGGGTCCTCGGTCCAGGGTACAGTGGTGTCTGGCCTGTGTTGCCTCGGGGATCCTTGAGGCTCTACAGTAGAGAGCCGTGAAAAGGCGCTCAGGCTCGAAGGCAAGGTTGTTCAAGCAGGTTCCCCCCCTGAATCTCAGCCTGTCACCGCCTAAAAGCCGAAAGCCCTAAACCGTGAAAAAAATCATTTCATACAGAGATTTTATACATTATACACATTCAAGATCTACAAGACTTACTTTCAACTTCTTGACACTTAGTCACCACGGCTATAAGCGCGGAGACTGTTGTTTTATTTATCTATATGGACCCGCTAGTCCAGGGACTTGTGATCCTACTTATACTTACTCTGGGCCTGGTGGTCTAAACTCTTCGTGTGGTCAGGCTGCGCGCGGGAGGGAGGCACCACCAAAGCAGCTGCTGGGTGGCTTAGATGACAAGGACAAGGGCGGTAAGGGCTTAGGGGTCAGCTCGGCTCGGCCAAGCATTTCCAAGTCTTGGGTCGAGGGCAGCAATCACGACCAACTACTACTCTTGCTGCTGCTACTACTACGTACCAGAACTAGGACCGCTTTCTCTATCATACACTACGACTCCGATACCTTACGCATTACACCCGCACCCACTCCCGCTGCCACTATACTCGTCACTGCCACTGCTACCTACTTCTACTGTTGTTGCTGCCGCTGTGGTTGTTTGTTTGACAACATCTGCAGGAAGCAGTGCTGCGCTTCCTCGTGAGCTTTCATGAGGTGAAGCACTTCAGCTGCACAGCCAGGATTTTTGACACGACGTTCATTCTGTGAAAAGGGCGATGTAAGGGTTCTGTCGGGCTTTGTCTAGCTTCAGCGCTTGGTATGGGGTTTCCGGTCTAGGCTCAGGGTCGAAGGTTATGGGCAGCTGCACATAGGGTGTGAAGTAGCTTGGATCAAGTTTGTTGCATAACGGTTTAGGTTCAGGCTTCAGTGTTCCATGGTTGTATTTGCATCATCGCGATGAATAAACAGCAGTCTTTACGGAGAAGAATAACTAGTCAGCTTCCTGAAGTGCAAAACTGAGCGCTCGCCCTAATAGCACAAAGTAGGTAGACCCTCCGAAGCAGGTAGTCATCATAGATCGCACCCGTATCTCTCATGCCATTTCGACATGGATCTCAGGAGGACCCATCGCAGGCAGATCGTCGCTGTGATGACAGTCCTGATGCACGAGTCCTGCCTTTCCATGCTTAGCACCAGGTAAGTTGGGGCTTCTCTTGTGTTATAAAGAATTTAGGGTCAGAGGATTTTGGGTTCAGGAGTTTTGGTCAGCTTCTTTACAGGTCTGTTTCAAACTTAGGAGTTGAGTTTGGTGGATACATTTGTGGGGTCGCTTTCGTTGGGTGCTAGTAGTAACACTCCGGCCTCTAACATGGACACCAGGATTCGAGCTTTCGCATGTCTACGCAGGTATACGCGCCTTAAGAGACACATGGGTGGTTGTCAAAATGAGGGTCCTTTTTTGGGTCCTTATTATCGTACGGCACGTAATATTTAGGGTACCCAAAAAGGGACCTTCATTTTGACAACCACCCACATCTTGCACTTGGATGCTCGTCGATCTGCAGCTCCTGAGTCTAATCCCATGGGCTGTCATAGAGTCATAGAGATTTCGGAAGTGAGCACTTGGGGTATGATAGGGCAGAACTTTGGTGGAGTCTCGGAGTCTGAGTTTTCTCCTCTAACTCCACCAGGGCTGGCTAGCCGGTTTCTTGCCTCACAAAGCTAACCCAGCCACAATCCTCCAGCCGGAACCTGCTGCCACAGCCCTCAACCTGCTAGTTAGACGAATTCCCAACCGCCAAACCACAATCATCAACCCCCTGAACCGTGAATACCAAACTACTCTCAAGGGCTCAAATCAGGAAAAGCCTTGGCACCGCGCGCTCTGCCAAGCTGAAGGCTCTTGCTTCTGTTGCAGTTTGGGATGTTCGGGTTTCATCTGTTGCATTCCAGGCTTTCGTGGGATTCAACCGACGGTTTAGGGTATTCAGGCTTTAGGATTCTACGTTTACGCCTCTCAAGTTGCGAACATGTCGGCAGAGAATGTTGGCGACTGCGAGTGAGCATTTCGTGGTCTTCGCGGGGCGGTGGGGGAGTGGGGGGGCTCAGGCATGGTTGCTATCAAGGGTATCCAGGTCCAATGCCCAACAATGGACTCCTCAACAGGTACCAGATACCTTCTGGGCATGCATGCATTCGAGTAACGATGTGTGTGTGTGTGTGTATGTATGTATGCTGTATGCATGTAAGTAAGTAAGTAAGTATGTATGTATGTATGTAATCAGGTTGTATGTATGTATTTGCATACACCTATGCGATGTTTACCCAGAAATAAATAGATACATAGTTATTTATGCAGTTATACATATAGACATACACATACATACATACATACCTAAGTACATACATACATACATACATACATACATATCTATATAGTATATAATATATATGTATATATATATATATACACATACACATAAGTGTACAAGTTTTCGTACAACACTCATTCATAATTACATATGTGATGTTTGGCTAAAACAGTAATAAATATATGCATTCATTCTTGTTGACCCAACCATTACATGTGTATGTCCGTATCTATGCATGCGCACGCACACACATACATGCATGCGCCACAGATGCGTGCATGTGTGCATATGTATGTATGTATGGATGTATGTATACATGTATGTATGTAATTATGTATGTATGTATGGATGTATGTATACATGTATGTATGTACTTATGTATGTATGCATGCATGTATGTATGCGTAGGTAGGTATGTAGGTGTGCAGGTATGTATGCATGTATTCAGAAAGCGTCGCATGTATGCGTGTGTACCTTCGTATGTATGTATGTATGTATGCATGCATGTATGTATGTATGTATCTATGTATATATATGTACAGAATATGTATGTGTATATATGTATATATATATATAGAGAGAGGAGAGAGAGAGAGAGAGAGAGAGAGAGAGAGAGAGAGAGAGAGAGAGAGAGAGAGAGAGAGAGAGAGAGAGAGAGAGAGAGAGAGAGAGAGAGAGAGAGAGAGAGAGAGAGAGAGAGAGATAGAGAGAGAGCGAGAGAGCGAGAGAGAGAGAGAGAGAGAGAGAGACTGAGAGAGAGAGCTACGGTGCTACGGTTAGGGTGGTTTTCGGGTTTCGGCAGATAAATCCGTGACTTCCTTCTGTCCCAGCAATTGAACCCCTTTGAGACGAGATAAGGTTTTTATAACGTGAGTTGAAGCGGTTTAAGGCCCAGTTCCTAATCGCCGAAATCAAAGCACCCAAATCCTACAGCGGACCCCCTCTATGCATATGCGCATCTAGCTTGTACCGGTATCTCCAGCGAGGCATGCACACCTAGCTAGTACTGACAATTCCAGGTTGGCGGCTAGGCAAATGTGGGGGTCTGCATACCCGCAGAGTGAGTTCCCATATTGATTCTCTAGCGGGCAAAAATGTATCTATCCCTGTACAACACTAACTCTATTCCTTATCAGGCACGTGAACCCTCGTCAACACATCAGTCGATCTCAAATTCTGAAGCACCGTGGAAAGCCCTCAAACCACGGGGTGATGAAACATACCTCTAAGGGGCTCGTAGAAGCTAAGTGAACCTGAAACCTAACTTCAAGCAGGGTCACGCCCTCAAACCTTGGGGCCTAAGATCCGAACCCCGACCGTTAAAACCCCAAAGCCCATGAAGTCCAAACCCTAAACTCTAGGGGCATGCTTTAGCAACTTTAAACACACACACCCCCAAAGCTGTATTGGGGAAGAGAACGGAAGAGAACTGAAAAGCAACAAAAACGCGAAGCACGAAGCCAGGCCTTCGCACGCGACTTCCGGAAGACCTCGAAGCTTGCGTGGCAGAGGTCCCGGAAGATGAGCAGAGTGCGGAGGCACCCGAGTGAAGATGCACATACATATATTAAAATAAAGGTAGGAGAGAATATACTTAGTGTAATGCAATATGTATGATATATATATATATATATATATATAAGTATATGGTGCCCCCCCCCATGGATCCACCGTTTGTTAGCTTCATGTACGCGCCGTCGACAACGTCGTTACACAGTTGTTCTTCAAGGGCTCAGGGCAAGGGTTTGGGGGTTTAGGGAGCCTAACTGAAAAACCTAACTGACAAAACCTAACTGAAAAAACTTACCTGAAAAAATCCTAACTGAAAAAAAACCTAACTGAAAAAACTTAAAAAACCTAAATCTCGAGAGTCTTGTCATGGATATCTCGCTGAAGGACTTCCCGAGTTTAGGTTTTTTAGGTTTTTTTTCAGTTAGGCTTTTTCAGTTAGGTTTTTTCAGCTAGGTTTTTTCAGTTAGTTTTTTTCAGTTAGGTTTTTCCGTTCGGCTCCGGACACACTGTCTGAAGCTGTTTGAAGCCAAGTGCTCAGTTTACACATTCTGCGTTCTGTATTCTCGATCGGGCCATATGGATGCGGTGTTTGAGCGCGCGTCGTCGCTTCCCGACGAGATGATCGCAGAGATTTGAGACTTTACACGTCGTGTCTGAGTTCAACTTGTTTACACGATGCTGATGCTCATAATGCTTCCTAAAAAGAGCACATATTCTAAAGTGAAGAACCTCAGAACCAAGCCGTGCCTACAGATCCTACAGAAAACGAAGTGTTTGTCGGCTACCTACCCGATGACACTTGTTCGCATCTTTAAAGCTTTGTCGTGATGTTTTTTCCTTATGTCACTTGTTCATGAAGCTGGTGCTTTATGTGCCGAACATGTTTACCAGGATCTCGAGTGCTTCGTGTTGGTGAGCGGTTTTTCAACATGATGGCAAGTGGTGAAGAACATCTTAGTCAAGCTGAGCGTTCATTCTTTGGTCTGTAAATATTGGTGAAATCACCAACGGGTATTCAACAAGATTCATAAAGGTATAAAAGGTTTCTATACTCTATGGGTATCTATATGAAGTCCTTTAAGATGTAAAGAAGGAGTATCGTGTAAGGTGTTCTATATGCTCTTGTTTTTGATTTCTTCATTGGGCACATAGCAGGTACAGCGCAGAGCATTATGCTCCTGATTTTCCTCCCATTAATCCGTTATCTATAAAGTATTCTACAAGGCATTCTATGGTGCATTCTACGGTTATGTTATGGAATATTCCATAGGGTTTTCTTTAGGACTTCCTATGGGGTACTCAGAGGGTATCATAGACAGTGTGTATATTCTGTAAGCTAGTCTGTACGGGATTGCAGATGATATTCTACAAGGCCTATAAAAGGCCGAGTATGTAACGTTGTTTTGGGCTTCCTATCGGGTACTCCATAACGCATTGTATAAGGGATTGTACAAGGCATCAACATGAACGTGAAGATTATCTTATAGAACGCATTCTATAACCTAATGTATAGGCTATACGGCTATAGGGTACTCAAGAAGGTATACATGAGGTATACAGGGGGTATTCTATAACGTATTACCTAGGGTCACCTGTACGAAATTCTTTGAGGTTTGTGGTATTCTTTAGGTTATTCTCTTCGACTCCTGGATCACTCCTAGAAATCAGTTACCCAATAGGGTGCTTCTTTATGAGGGGTTCTCAGATCTTGGGCTCGTTGAAAGGTTATCTATAGGTGTTCTTACTTCCCAAATACCTATGGGGGTGTAAAAAGTTTAAACTTTCGCAATGAGACTACCTTATTAGGGGCCAAAAGTTGACAAGTTTGGTTTTGAGCCACTAAGTGTTATATGGGTTCAGGGTATATATACTGTACACATGGACTGTCATGTATAGGGCCATATGGGCATTCTGTAAGGTCTTCTATAGAGTATTCCAGACGGTCTTCCATGAGGCGCACGACACATAGAGGGTACTCTGTGTTCCATGAAGTATTTTGTAGGGTACTCTATGTCTTATTTTGTAAGGTGCTCTGGATATTCAAAAGATATATGGGCTATGACTGAAAGTATATGATAAGGTATTCTAGAGCCTCCTAGGGTATTCAATAACGCATGAGGGTATTTTATATAAGTGAGGTTTCAAGATACATAGTACAGGACACCCTATAAGATATTCTATATAGTGTTTTGTATAGAGTGTCCTATAGAGTATGTGTAATATGATGCGAGCGGTGTTATATGTGTTCAAGGCATATATACTGTATACATGGACTGTCATATATAGGGCCATAGGGGCATTCTGTGAGGTCTTCTATAGAGTATTCCAGACGGTCTTCCATGAGGAGTACGATAAATAGAAGGTATTATGTGTTCCATAAGGTATTCTGTAGGGTATTCTATGTCGTATTCTGTAAGGTACTTTGGATATTCAAAAGATATACGGGCTATGACTGAAAATATATGATAAGATTTTCCAGAGGCTCTAGGGTATTCAATAAGGCATGAGGGTATTCTATATCGGTGCATTCCATATGAAAGGCTTCAATATACAAAGAGAAAGTATTCTACAGGACATCCTATAAGATATTCTATATAGTGTCTTGTATAGAGTGTCCTATACGGTATGTGTAATATAATGCGTGCGGGGTGTATCATATATAGGTGGTCTTGTATACGGTATGCGACAGGATATTCAAATGGATTTCTACAAGATATAGAAGTTATGAGAGTGGAATTTTCCAAAGTATTCCAACATGTAATCCAAAGGGTATTATATTGGTGAAATACAAGGTATTGAACCCTGAAAGTATCGATAGATTTCGTGTTCACGGACATTATCTATAATCTCGATGCGTCTTATATATGGGAGGTGTAGAAATAGGGCCCTCTTTTCATATCTATACTTGTCGTGATAATTACTATGTTATATGGGATGATATACCTTTGCTTTCCTGTTGCATGTTACCTTCAGAGCCCATACTGCTGCATGCAAAAGCCTATACACACACAGGACATGCATGCAAGCTTGCGTTCTTTTGCAACACGAGAAGAAGCCGTACGCGAATGTATGTCGCTTGGAAAAACTCAGGGTGTATATGAAGGAAATGCAGAATGTAGGATCTGCGAAATCGATGATGACGTCGAAGCGTATTTAGTGAAGGACTTATAAAGAGAAGGGAATACGTTATAGAATATCAACTATTTCGCATCCGGCTCTCAAACACACGAAAAAGGTGGATCCTTGAGGGGGGGTAGCATATATATATATATATATGCGTGTATACAGGTACATACATAGATAGTGGGCCTTACTAGTTCGTATCCGGTTCTCTGTAAGGGTTTCATTAATTTGCTCCAATCCCAGCAGGGGCGCTCTGATTATCTGATTGTTTCATGTTCGGAGCAGAAATAGCAACAACAGTTGTACGGACACTGGCTTGTGTCGGATGTGGTGACAGCACCGCCAATGCCCCCCCCCAATCCCAAACGTATCAAACCGCATTAACCTGCAAACCCCCTAAAACCCTCTAAACCCCCGAAACCCCAAACCCCGAAGCCCCCCAAATCTCCTAAACCCCGCAAGCCCCTGAACCTCCTGAACCCCTTGACCTCAGCTCTCGGAGAGGAAGCCGACGAGGAGCAGTCGGAGGAGCCTGGCCTCAGCGAGGAGCCAGAGCTTGGGCGCTTGGGCGGGGTTTAGTGGATTTACTGGGTTTAGGGGTTTTAAACCCTAAACCCTAAACCCTAGGGGTTCAGGGGGTTTAACTGATTTGGGTTTTGGGTTTGGGGGCTTAGTGTTTTGGGTCTAGGGCCTAGGGTTCGAGGTGTAGGGGCCTGAAAAATTAGAATAGGGTTCCTTTAAAGGGTTCCTTGAAGGGGTGTATAAGGGATCTATACGGGTACTGTTATATAAGGGTCTTAATACTTAGAATAGAGTCTCGTGGTTCATTATTACAAGTATAACAAGGACAAGCCTTAAGCCCAAACCCCTATCAGACCTGCAGATGCCCTAAGACTCAAACCCAAGAGCCTATATCCTGTTCCTTCGGGTTTGGGGGTTTCAGGTTTTGGCAGCTGTGGAAGAGGATTGTCCACGGTTTCGGGTCGTAGATGTGCAGACCCCCCGCAGTTGAGCCTTAAACCCTGAACTAGGCCTTAAACCACCAAAGGACTGGCCGATGGTCTGATCCCCTGTATCTGTATAGCACAAGCTTCAAAATACGAACCCGTTTACAAGGTCTAAGCATATACTATATAGGGGATACGATGCCCATCAACTCCCATAGTAGACCCTCTAACTCTGAGACCTGTAAAACCCTGTAGCAAGCCCTTTAACCCTGAGGGTCCATGTGTTCATATAGTATATACATTGGCCTCAATGTAGTCCCCATTGAGGTACTTTGGGGCCCAAGTATACGCAATATGGGTACATGGACCCTGAAAGTAATTGATAAGCGCGGTTCAACTTCCTCAGAACTGCCGCCAGGAAGCCCCAAAAGCTCGTCGCTCGTCCAGGTGAACTCGACGAAATATGAGAAGGGGGCTTTCTCTGGGTGCCTTAAACAGTTAGAAGAGGAGTTTGGGGTATATGATAGTATGATTTCATAGTGACTATATTACATGTACCATACAGGGAGGTTGTTTGTAACTTCCCCCCCCCCTACACGGCCTTTAGTCTCAGTTCCCTTTTGTTTATCCAGTTTTGCAGAGAGGATCAGTTTAGGGTTCAGGGTTGAGAGATTAGGGTGTATAGAGTTCAGGGTTTAAGGTCTAGGGTTCCGCCGCCACATCTCTCAAGGAGTAGCCTGAATGAGACACCGGATGTACACGCGGAGCAGGGGTCCGAAGATTGCAGCTGAGTATAGTCATGCGCATGGCTTCAACTTCGTGACCACGGTTACGGAAGTAGGACTTTTAACGTTTCAGGTTCTACCAGTTTAGAAAAAAGTTCAAGACGTGTGAATTGAGATACCACAATTATAGCCGTACCTAGAACCGACTTACTAAGTTCCCTGGGCCTCCAAGTGGCCTTAAAGTAGCCCTTATAGCCCCATTAAAAGGAACCCGAACCCCATATCAGTCTGCACCTCTTCAGGATCTTTTGTTCAGGCGCCCCCCCCCCCCCCCTCGGGCGCAAGATCTCTGCAGCCATGGCGACTCTTAAGCCTTTGCTGTCCCAGGGCTCCAGTGAGGGCGAGCCCTTTAGCATCGCCAGGCTGGACATGAAATATAGGGGCCACATATATATATATATATATATATATATAATCATCAATTAGAATAGGGTTTTTTCGGCCCAGTATACCATAATAATATGACAATAATACAGCATCGCGAGGCTGGAAATGTAAGAACAGCGTGTCTCTGGGGTATTGCTATACCTAAGGCTGCAAGGGGACAGAAGCATACACAGCTATCTTGTTTATCGATATCCCCCCGAAGCCTATGCGCCCTTTGGAGAGAATTGCTGCCACAGCCGCCTAGCCCCAAACCAGCAGGTAGGCGGGCTTAGGCGTTTTTGGGTTTTTGGTATAGGCCGTGTCCCTATCAACCCTAAACCCTAAACCTTAAACCCTAAACCCTAAATCCTAAACCCTAAACCCTAAACCCTAAATCCTAAACCCTAAACCCTAAATCCTAAACCCTAAACCCTATAGCACCCTAACCTCTCATGTTGATCTTTTCAGACCAGGTCCCCGAAACCCGAATCTCCAATCCTAAGCTCCCACAGACGACCACGTGTTCTGCAGAACTCTCCTTGTGGGCCCGGTTTAGGGTTTAGGGTTTAGGAATCCTTCATTGTACTACTAAGAATATGGTCACAAGGAACATCAAGCAACAGCAACTCAACGCGCACAAGCTTCTAGAACCCCCTATAGTACGCCCTTCAATAGGAGATTGGAAACGCTTTCAGAACTCCCTAAAACCACCAGTGCTAAACACTGCACGCGAAGTCAACCCTGAGCTTCATAACTCTATATATCCACGTATGCCTCAAACCATTCTAAGCCACCCTCAACCGAAACCCCACAAAAAGCCCTTAGCCCCGACTTAGACCAGTCGCAAAAGACAAACAGCTGAACTCCATGGCCCTAAAACCGTCAAGCCCTCTGCGGACGGAAAAGAAAGTTCAACAAAAGCACGAAAGAGGCAAGAGTCCTTGCAAGCGAAGCTGATGGCGGAGTACACGAAGGTCCATGAGCTTCCTGGGCTTCAGGACCCTTCTGGCCGTCTTCACTGCAGAAAGGGCCGGGTTTAGAGGTCATCTTGAACGGAGCTCACACTGGGGGGCTTGAAGGGGGGGGGTTAGGTTCAGGGTTCGGGTTTTGGTGTTTAGGGGCCTAGGGTTTTTCCAGGGTTTGGAGTTTTATCTGCATTTAAAAAAAGCCTTTGGCAGAGTCACCAGTGGCCGGCAAGCAGCAGGAGCCGGCTCGGTGTATCTTAGGGAAGGCACTGTCCTCCTGGTCACGATTGATTGACATTCGAAGCGTTTGTGTTGTAATAGGCGTCTATATCTACACCCCATTCAAAGCCTAAAGCTCATGCAAAGTCCGAACCTCCAGCCTGCGACGAGGACGGCGAGCTCGATCGCAGGTTGAATGCCGTGGAGCTGACGCTCTTGGGAGTCTTGACGGGGCTACTTAAGGTGTTGGGTGTTGAGGGCTTCTTTTGGGATGGGGGAGATGACCTTCTGGATGTGTTCTCGATCTCTCCCCTGTAACTCAGTGAGTTCCGAGACTTCGGGGTGGACTGGGCGCCAACAGCTAGGCCTCCTACTCTACTCAGAATCCCGACTCACGTGATACATCAGGGCCCCAGCCATTAAACCACAGCCTATCGACCTCCAGAGTTCAAGCTTGGCTTATTTTCGGGTTTGGATTTGGGGCCAAGTTTAGGGATTTCTTCTCGAGGTCAGCGGCCGCTCGTAAGGCGGCACTCAGAAACTGTGCGCGCTGAAGATAAGGGACCTTAAACGCTAAACGGACAATGTGTTAAGCCGGAAATCCTCGGAAGAAGATCTCCTCACGAACCCTGAACCCTAAACCCTAAAACCAACCCTTTACACCCTGACCCTAAGCCTAACACTCCTAAATCGTATACCGTTGACTGTTTGGCCCTTGCCTTTCTCTGCGAGGAATCGGGGCCTGTATCGGAGCTGGCATTTTTGTGCTGACCGGAGCAGAGGCACAGAGACTCTGCCACATCAAAGAGTTGATTGAACAGGCTTGATTGAGGAGCCTTAAAAATCTTGATTCTGAACCCCAAAACTCAGGAGCCTTAAAAATCTTGATTCTGAACCCCAAAACTCGAGACTCTGAGTATTTAAGAGTTCGCTAATCTAGGGACGACGGGCCTAAGCACTGAGCCTGAAGTCGTCGGGGTTTGGAGCCTGGGGATTCAGGGCTTCAAAGCAGGGTCCATAGAGTCTCATGTGGGAGTTTCCGAAAATAGGGGTACCGTATTTTGGGGTCCTTATAATAAGGATCCTACTAGGTTCCCCTATTTTCGGAAACTCCCATGTAGGCGTCTGAAGAAAGCATAACATATCCTACTATCCCCCCTCCTCCTATCGCCCCCTGCCCCCAACACCGAATTCCACTGATTAATCCCGCTCTCTTAGTGGGCCTCTGATTTTTCTTGCATGCGGTGAGGTCCCTGACTCCCCCAAACTTGCAGCAGGCCTAAGCATAGTATAGGGGCCTAGCGAATCACGAATACTACTTTGGTGGTTCTTTAATTATTAGCTGTAATTACAGTCCAATATACCGCAAATTCTATTCTGATCCTTCAGGCCACTACTTCAACCTCCCAAAACCTACTTTTTTGTAGGGTGCCTATATTTTCCGTATTAGGGTGTATAATAAGAGCCTACAAGAAAGTAGGGTTTGGTAGTTTAAGGTACAGCAGAAACGGGCTAGCGGGCCGAGCCTCGATCCAATTCTTGTCCAACTCCTAGACTTCGGGTCACACAAGGCTGGAAAAGCACGGCAGGACCGATACTTTCGCATGTCTGCATGCATGAACAGGGCGCTCGCTTTGATGATATGCTGCGAAAATGCAAATTTAAGAATGTTTCCGCACGGCTCGATGTCTTACATCCAAGAGTGAACTGTAACGGCCATACACACTGGAGGCTTGAGGCCAGATTCTGCACAATGTGTTCTTTGATCCCGCAAGCAGAAAGTCCGTCTAACGGAACGGGTGCGAGGACGTTATCATAGTTTGGGCATGGATGCACTGGCCAAAGTGGCCACGCTGCAGACCTGAGGGACGGAGAAAGTGGGGCAAACGTGGGTGATCGAACCAGAGTTTAGGGTCAAAGGAGGTGTTCGGCCGCTTGTCGTTCAGGGACTTCCTAGGCCAGGGTTTTGGCTTTTGGATCTGTGTTTGTGGAGACTGGGGTTACGGTAGTGTCAGCACTCAGTACCTACTTCCGGTGTCCCGAACACTGAACATACCCAGTGAGCTATACACAAAAAATTGAAATCTTGAGTCGAACTAGTCCCAAATCCTCATCCCCACTCTCTAAGCGGCACCCTTAATCGTAAAATCCTGCCCACCACCCCCAGTCGAGCCAGGCTCGCATTGCTGGGCCGTCGGTGTCAGTTGCTTTCCTCTTGGCTGCTGCATCCTCCATCTTCAACGGCCGCTAGCCAAGAGCAGGGGCACATTTGAGGTAGAGAAGTTTCAAGAATAAAATATTTACAGTATATCAAGCCAAACTATACCCCACAAACCCTGATAGGAGTTTGAATCGAATGCTTCGAGCTTGGGCTTTCGAACGTAGGGTTAGGCGAGGGGTTTAGGGTCCAAGGAGGTTTTGACTGGGTCTCAAAGCTGAAGACCTACTTTACAAGTTCGGCCCAAAAATCGAACAAACCCTTGAGCCTGAACCCCTACAGGCCGTATTCATGCCCTAAAATAAGCTCACCTGAAGAAGCCTACCGTTTAAGGACTTATACAGTATTACATACGGATATCGAAAAAGGAAGCCTACAAAGGTAGGCTGTCTAGACTGTCTAGGGTCTGGGGAGAACCCTATGCTCGAAGGCTTTGGCCACCTTAGAGGCCAAGCAAGAACATAATTATGTAGGGCTTGTATATAGGGCTTAGGGGAGCGCCTCGACACCGAAACCAAACCCTAGCAGGAACCCCAAATAGTGGTATTCTTTCGAGTCTTAAGAGGCCTCTGCTTTGCCGAGCTGGCGACCCGTTTGCCGGTGTCCGGCTCCGCCTACCTCTACGTGTCCCTTGGACTTGGGCCTTAGAGTTTGGGGTTTATAGGGTTTAGGAGTTTGGGGTTCAGTATCGGGATTTAGTGCTTAAGGCTTGAGTGTGTCCCTTGGACAGCTTGAGGTTACAGCGATGCTTTAAGGGGCTCTATCGGGGTTCTCTGAAAAGTTCGGGTTTGCAGGTCGTCAGGGGCCTTACTTCTGGAGAACTACCACACATGTCGTTCAGACTGTCTGAGCCCATATGGGAGTTTCCGAAAACTAGGGGTACCTGATTTTTGG